CTATTGGATATAATAGCTCACAAGAATGATTCAATATAATTTTTTTAATGCCTAACTGAGCCGAGCATTAGCTTAAAGGAAAGCAGTGCGGAGCGGAGTGTTATTTGGTTATAGTGAAATGGATGATGTTGCGTCAATTTTCATGGCGTGGCACTGGAGACCAAAGAATCTGAAAGCTGTAGATGGAGAGCTGAGCTTTGTTGCTCCGGAAATAATAAAATTAGGTAATACATAATTTCGACAAGTAGTCTTAGTAAATAGCGTTATAAGCTCAAGCGCATAACGGATAAAATAATTAATATTATCCCGTTTTTTCTTAGTAAAACTATAATATCAAGAATAGGATAAAGGTAAAAGCTATCGCGGAAAAAATTCTAAAAACTTTATCGAGTCAGAAATTAAAAGAAAAAACTTTTAACTTTGAAGTCATTTTAATAGAAATGCCCAGCTTTTAGATGGTACACCAGTATTAACTTCCTAGAACCAGAGGACTTTATGAGTGTGCTGCCACACAAGATCTAAAGAAAAAAAAGTGTGTAGTGCAATGATATAGGGCTCCAGCTAAGAGGATTAAGTTTATAATAACAGGCAAGGAAGTATTAGACGTCTTGGATAATGTTAATAATTTTTATAAAAGAGAATTATCTATGGCGGATTAGAAGACTATCTCGCCTTTGGTTACGTCGATGCAATTGTTTACCACAACAGAGATATATATCTACCGTTCTTTTATATACATACCGTTAAACGTTAACAAAGGTTTTTTAACCTTGTATAGTAGGTTTAAAGCTTTTAATTTAACATTAAAATTATTTAATAAGAGGATTATTTTTTTAAAAAAAATCGATTTTTCTTTCTGCTAAATTTACAGAAATTATATTAAGCCAATTTTTGTTTGTAACCACCACTACGTTTTCTGACCGATTGAGTCAGTCGACTTGCTTATTTTTTATCACCTCAGAAGTAATTCTGCTCTCATTTTTCAGCTCTTGGTAAAGACATACAACGTTTAAAAAAACAAAGTTGTTACGTACTTCAACTCGTCATACTCCTTTTTTTTTTTCAAAAAGTCTTATTAGCTTTTACTGACCAATTCCTCGGATGTCACTATTATGCACACCTAACAATAGCCGTACTATAGTTTCCTTAAAATTTGTTTAATTATTAAATTTAACCGTTTATTATACTCCGCACCCTTTAATATTTTTAAAAAGAAACTCTTATCATTTGGCTTTAATAAACTCTCACTGAGATAAATTAAAAGCATTACCTAAGTTGTTGAAATAACTTATGTTCTCTTTTAGATTAAAAGGGGTAGCAAATTGCTTGACAACAAATATCTTAGCCTTAGATCAAATTTTCTTCCAGAAATTGATTCAAACTGCACATTTTCCTTTAAAAGTCCTCGACAATTCAGCTATACAAACGGCTAATAGTCTAGGTCTAACTCCTAACGTTCGGCAACCTTACTAACCTTACGTCTAAGTTTTTAAGTACGCGTTGGATCACTCTGCACTTTAACTTATTTTTTTAATATATCAATCGGACAGGCCAATAATATGTCTAATAAAAAATTGGTTGTTATAAGACAGATTTATAATTAAAAATTAACAAAAATTTTCTAGTTCTACGCCTAAGCAGATTCTTTTACTTTTACTAATAACTTGGAGATTAAACCATTCACCTTAACTCTTCCAGTTGAAAAGATACAGATAAGCTTTTTAATTTTGAATTTTATAATTGTTGGTTTTAGTATTCGCTTCCATTTTCCCAAAACTTATATATTTTCTGGCTGTTTCTACAATAATTATTACCTAAAACTTCTTTTAGTTGATACTATTTCTACACGGTTTGCAGCGTGTATATCGTTGTTCTGTTTTTTGTACTATGTTTAGATAGAGAGAACTTTCAATTATTAGAATAGCGTTCCTATTTTGAAATGGAAATACTTCAAAATTTATAAAATTCGCCAATTGTAGTTAAATTAGAATGAACTTGGGACTTGAAAGAGCGTGCTCGCATATGTGTATTGCATTCTCCATCGTAGAAAGTGTCAGTGAAAAGAAGTTCAATAAATTATATTTCTTTCCTATCCCATACCTTTTATATTATTCAAACTCAAGACATTATTAAAGCCTTTTCTTTTTAACGGGTGAGAAATCGGATATATTCGTGAGCTGAAATTATCTACTTTAAAGACTGAAGTATGATAAATATTATTTAGTACGGAAACTATATTATTATACTTTACTGGTTTACACTAGCACAGCAACGCTATTATACGTAAGAAGCAGACCACCGCATACCGCTCTATAGAAGAAAAAAAATTGTTCAGGGTTTTTTTTTCTCATAGACAGACTACGGTTAGTCCCAAGCCTAAACAGCTTAATCTTTCCCTCCTCCACGAGGCGTCGGTTCACGAATGCGTTCCCGTGCGTTCACTCGAAGGCATATCAAGACTGCCCCAAAGAACTGGGTAGAAAAAGAGGTATCATTGACTCCGACCCGCTAAAAGCCACCACCAGAAGAGTCAACTTTCATGTACTAGACCTGAGGACATCTGAAAACTAGCCAGCTTCTATAAACACAATTTTATTTTAGCCCTCACTCTAATAGCCGCTCACTAACTTCAAATCCAACCGATATACGCGTTAAACTTATTCAGAGAATCACACGGAGGGAGGGCTGGTAACTAAGCCAACCTAATTTTCATGTAGGGTCGTTGAAGGAGAGGCCACGGCAGGGGAGAGCTTCCCGCAAGTTTTATTTTTACTATGGGGATTTTTATTTACTCATGTCCGAGTTTGATGTTATCTTTGAAGAAACTGTTATTGATATATACTCCCTTAAGAATATCGAAAAAGCATTTGAAGATATAGAAACCATTGATGACTTAATTTCTTATAATGAAAACAGTTATTTAATTTTTGGCGAGGTAGGTTCGTAAATCGTTTAAATTTTTATTACCGTTCGAGGAAATCGAGGTTTAATTGTATAAATATCTTTTATCGTTAGTTAGAAAATCGTGGTGCACTTTGAATATTAATAATATGTTTATAAAAATAATTTACTTATATTAAGTTTTTTCACTTAAAATCTTGTTAATAATTAACTTGAACTGCCTTATAGGATTTATTGGTTTGCTTGGTTGCTAAAAATCCTTTTCAAAATGGGAAATTAAATACGGAAAAATTTACAAATGAGCAGTGGCTTTCAAATTTTGAAAGGTTAACGTTTGACTTTGTTGTCAACGATCCCGAAAATTTTGAAAATACTTATAATGAAGTTTTAGGAAAATCATCTATTATTATACCTTCGGTAGGTATATTAGTAATATATAATTTTAATGATCTTTAACCTTTTTTTAGGAAAAACCTCAATTTTTGGGAACCCAGACTGCATTTTCTCAAGATTTCATGAAGCCTATAATTTCCACTCCTAATAAACAACACTTCCGTTCTTCCTCTTTTACTTACAAAAAGGAAAATCTTAACTATGTTACTTCTTCAAATGTTTCGGGCGGGTCCCCTATTAATATGTCTGACACCACAGATTTAGCTTTTACAACATATCAAATTTCCGTTAGTACTTTTTCAAGCTGTTTACGAATAATTACAAATGTTTAAAGTCATTGTAACGTGAATTTTTTATATCAGGATTGTTTCAAAAAAACTACTTTATTTCCTTGCTCAGTCTCAGTTGTGAACTGCGCTGACAAAGATTTCAACGTAACTTTAATAACTGAAGACACTACGAAACCGCCTGCGAAGGGGAAAATTAAAAACTACGAAGGGATTACCGTGCGAACTTTGGTGAACAATTTTCTAGTATCCAAATTCTCATTTACCTTCTTTAGCTGTTCTTATACGACTTTCTCTACACTCTAATAAATATTACTTTTTTTTAATTTATTTTAATTTTATAGTTTTATAAATATTTTTTAATTTCTTTTAGAAAAGTGGCGATGTGTGTTACCTTGTGCAAGTACCCTGGAAATTTTTAACTAACAATCCCCTCAAGTTTAGACGCTGGGAATTATCCGTGACCTTTTCGGTGCTGTTGAAAGATAGAAACGAAATAGACCATAAATTAAAGTTTCTGCTTTCTCACGTGTCGGATTTCAGCGAGATTGTAGATTTTATTGAAGATGAACACCTCGTCAAGCAGCCCAAAGTTTCTAGAAAACCTAGTAAACTGACGTCTTCATGGAAGCAGCATAAAAGAACGGTGTCTGCCTCCCTTTCTCGCATTGACATTTCTCAGGATCTTGACAAAAAAGTCCTTTTTTATTTTAACAAACCTTAAAACTTTCAACTTTTATAATTATGCCAAACTGCTACTACTTAATCGTATTTACAAATACATAAGAAAAAATCTTCAAATTTTTAGCTTTAATTGTAAGTATATAAATTTTATTCTACGTTAAGTTTTAAGAGTTTTCCAAATCTTGATAATTTCCTGTAAATTTTTATCATTTATAATTAATTTTTTAATTTTAGAATATTTATAGATTCTATAACTTTATAGGTTTCAATAAAACTTCAAGTCTTACCTTTACCTTCTTTAGAGATAATTCAGTTCACTAAAAATAATTTAAGAGTATACAATCTTCTCTTTACTAACATTGAAGAATTTCCACTCTCTTTTGGCCCTCTATACGTTTGGACAACTCTAATTGTAGACCATACTAACAACGTTGGCAACCCTAAAATTTTTCAAAAGTTTTTCGAAGATTATTTTTCGGAGTTTTGGGAGATTTCTGTTCCGTCTTTGGAACCTGATTTAATCCTTCAGCCTGGTGAAACTTACTCCACTGTACTAACTTTTGAGCCGAAACTTCCGCTCAATAGAAAATTAGAAAAAAAATTATATTTTAATTTCTCTTGTCACTTATCCACATCTTTCAATTATACACTCGACACTAAAACCCTTAAGAAGGTCAATACACAGTATAATCTTCCATCCTTGAGTTTATCTTGTGCAGATTTTGCTCTCACTTATAATGCGCCTGAACACATTCATGCTCAAGAAGAGTTTTACTTGACTATTTCTATAGAAAACTGTTCTGGCCAAGATAAAAAACTTTTATTAGTGATTTCGGATCAACCAAAATTATTACATCCAGTCGCCATAGACCAAGATTTATGTATAGAAAAAAGTCAAACTTCCTTGGAAGAAGCTGAAGGTTTTTAAAAATTTGTTATTTTTGCTGGCTTACTTTTAAGTAACTTTATAGTTGTGCTGTAGTGTTTTTGTTTGTGTAGATTTAACTGTAGTTATATTATTGGAAACACTAATCATAATTTATTAACTTTGGTTGGTAAATATTATTTATTAGTACTTAAGTTTTTTTTTATTGAAGGTTATACAATATTCCAAGAGCTGGAGAATTTGGAAGTTGGTTGTATATGCGTCGACGAGTGTATTCCTCTTGGGTAGATTATTTATTTAATATATCGACTTAATATTATTAAAATAGAAAGTTAATTATCATTCCCTATTAAAAATTTTGCTTGTAACTAACAAATTCTACGTTGTTGAATTTATAATAGTGTTCTTAATAATTTTATATTTCAGTTGCGTCAAATCTGCAACTTCAAAAACCGTTTCTGTAAAATTTTACGCTTTTACTTCTGGAGTGTACGAACTTCCTCCCGTTCGCTTGTGTGATCAAGTTAATAATAAATTTTTAAAGTTGGACGTTGCCCCTTTTTTATTTCATGTACTGGAAGAACAATAGCTGAAAAGCTTAAATAGTGATAATAAAAATGCTTATAAGTCTAACTTTAAAAATTAAAGCGTAATATTTGCGATATCATATTGTTAGAAGTTAACATAAGCCTTAATTTTACGTGTTGCCGAGGAAAATTCTTTTCAAAGGGTGTAAGGTGTAGTCTATTATAAAAGAACTGCCTTACGTCTTATTGTAAAAAATAATGCATTTTGTGAAGTAAACAGTTCATACTAAGCCTTTTTCGTTTAGATAAAACTGTAATTAAGCTTTCTTAGAATCTTAAAAAAATTATTAAAATTCTTCGAAACGGAGAAAGTATTTTAGGTTATTTCCGGTAAACTTTCTTGCTTCCTTTTTCAATGAATATATTAGGGTACGACTAGTTGAGAATCTGAGTTCTTAAACACAAGAAGGTATAAAGCCAAATTCAAACAAACGTTGCGTTACTAATTTAACCTTCAAAAGTGTAGACAATTTTTTTTCTTAGAGCGTAAATTTATGAGATGTACCTACTAACTAAATTTGTTTATTGGTTATCTTGAGCCGTACTCGGTAGCTTAAAGGAAGGCTACTAAGTTATAGTTGTGGGACTAAAAAGTGTAAAAATATGTTTATTAAAATAATTTTGCTTTATAAAATACTAGAAATGTTAAATTAGGCTTAAAGTTAAGTGTCTAAGAAATTTTTAAAAATATATGTTTAAGTGTTTTAGAAAGTGAATCGTTTATTATACCTTAAATCAACCTGTCTGCCTACTTAATAAACAATTATTTGAGATCGAGCAGGCTAAATAGTACAGTATCCAAGTATAACTCTTATGGAGACAAAAAGAATATAACTTAGGCCGTTTCAATTCATATCAATACCGAAGAAACTATATTTAAAAGATTGACGGAACTCTTCTAAACAGGTGAAGATTTCGCACAGCGGTCTGTAGAAACCAGCAGGGGGCTAAACTTTGTTACTGACAAAATTCAGCGACCGAAAAAAAATTACGCCGGCTTCAATCTTTATAGCTTTAAGTAGATGTTCATACACTCCTTTTAAATAAAAACTTAAAATTTTGCTTATATATAAATTATATTTAGTTTTTATAAATTCTCGGAAAGAATTAAATGTAAACAGCTCTAACCTTTTTTTTTTAACTTTATATATTTAGAAGTTAAATACTTATTATGTCTCCTATTGACTACTCTAAGTGGGGCCATATCGATATATCTGACGATGAAGATCTACAGCATCCGAATATTGATAAGGCTAGTTTATGGAAATGGGAGAAGGAAGCTCGATACGCTCGTTATGAAGAACAAGAAAAGGTCTTCGTTAATTATACTATCTTTTTACAATTTAGTAACGATAGTACCTTTTTACATATATATTTAGAAAAAAAATGAGGTTACCGAAAAAAAAAATTGTTTGCAAAACAAACTGAAGGAGCATGAAGCTTCAGACCCTTCGAATTTCTCACAATTGGAAGCGTTAAAAACAGAGTTAGAAGCTTACGAAAAAGAGGAGGCTAAACTTTTAAGAAAAGTCTCTTTACGTGAGCATATTAACTCTTATTTCCAAAAGACTTTTATAGATAGTTGAAAATCGCTTAACCTTTTATTCAATAATCAGGTATAGTTAACTGCAGTGTTAATATTTGTTTAGTAATTTACCAGTAAAACAGGCGAGTGGATTAAGAAATAAGTAAAAAAATTTCAAATTTTAAAACGGTTTTACGAAAATATATTCTATTATCAACTTTATAGTTCACTTTTAATCTACTTGAAGATTTAATTTCATTAAGAAAAACGCTTAAATAAAAAAAGATTTTTCTGCTATTATTTTATTTTTTAATGGAATATATTATTATTTTTTGCAATATTTTATTCATTTTTTTAATTAAAAACAAAATTGCGTAGGAAAAGTTGTATCCCAACTGGAATTCAAGTAACATGTGTAAAGATGTCTTTAATACTACAAGATTGAATTCTGCCGCCTTTAAGAAAAATCATGAAAAAACTGAAGAAGAAATTCAGGCCGAACAGGTATTAAAAATTTATAAATTTTTTTTGAATAAAAACAATTTTTTTTAATTTTGAAATTATAAATACTGTTTTTTTTTTGCATTATTTTACATTATCTTCTAGTTTTTTAGTTTTAGTAGATTTTTATGGCTATAAATGGAAAAATATATTTTTTTCTTTTATTACAAAAGTTAGTTTAATTTTTTACGTAATCGAAATTTTATAAAATAATTTTTTTAATTAAAATTTTCTATTTTTGTTTTTAATTCGATGAACTTTTCTACGTTAAAATTCTCTTGCACTAGTTAATTATTTCCCATTCTTGCGGGGGGATGCCTCTTTCCTGTAGCTCTTTGCTTCTCCTGTAAGCCTCGAGTTTTTAAAAAAGTTTCAAGCCGCTTTTTCAGTAGATATAAGCTTGCACTGTTTGTACATTTTATAATGAAGAAAAATAGATTTTTAAAAAGTTTTGAAGTTAATTATATAAAATTTCAGCTTTTTACTGGATTCAAGCGTGTACTGATGTACATTTTTAATAACGAAGATTATTATATATTTATTAATAATATTGAACTCAAACTTTTAAAATTTTTTGAGTTGGCCAATTTCATTGCTATAAAGTAAATCTATAATAGTATGGATTATTTTTAAATATTATTTTAATTTAAATTTATTTATAAACAATAAGTAATGTTATCGGTTGCTTAAATAAATTATTAAATTTATTAATTTTTGTTATATTTTTAATATTTTATTTTGAATTTTGTATTTAATTTATATGTACTACCGCTTTTTTATCGCTAATAGCTTTTTTTCTTTAAAGGTAATTAAATGTTTATTAAAATTATTTTTGTCAGGCTGAATTTTTTAAACGTTTTCGACATGAAATAAAAAAATTTGGGAAACTGACAAATATGGAAGATTCGCGGGACTATCTTTTAGAGGTTTGCGGTTGTGATTATTGTTTATTGTTTAGAATGTTACTGTATTTACTTTTAAACAAATTCATGTTTGGATTACTTTGAGTACTTTGAGTTAATTTTATAAATTTTTTTTTAATTTTCAGATGGTAATTTTTTTTTAACTTACATAAAAATTGTTAGTTAGCCTAAAATGTTATTTATAATAATATTTTTGAAACCCATATATGAAATATTAAGAAAAAGTATTTATATGTATTACTGGGATTTTTTTACTAATAATTTTCAAAGTATCTAAATTATATTTAAATTAATAAAAACGTAATACAGTTTTCAGCTTTCCATATTTTTTATACTATAAATTGATATTGAAATATTTTTTTTATTTTTAAATTGCTCAAAGCATCCTCATCTTGTGAATGAGTACACGGCAAACTTTTTAGTGGTCTGGTGTGTGGATTTGCAGATTGACGAAGACGAATCTTCCGTTGAAACGGTAGCAAAGCAGACCATCCTGATGCAGGTTCTATATTTATATAGTGTTAATTTAGATGGTAAAGAAAAATCATTGCAATTGCTATAAAAAATATTTTTTTTGTAGAAACCGGTTTTATTATGGAAAACTTAACAATGTTAATACATATTCTTATGGACCTCACTTATTATACAACTATCTTATTGGTAGCTATAAAAGTTCAAGAGCTCTATTTTAAGTATTTTGGTGCAGTTTAGTGCGTTTTACAAGCTTATTCTAAGGGTCACGGAAAGCACGTGTTAACCACACTTATTTGATCGGATGTTACAAAACCATGAGAACTCTAGTAAAAAGGCAGCCTTGCATGTTGTATTTTCATTAGCAATAGTGGCAACTAAAAAGCTAAAATACAACCTTTTTCGCTTTTTTGGTATTTTTTCCTAGTAATACCTACCATTACATTTATATATTTTATTCTTTTTTATTCTATTTTTGTTGATAAAAGAAATAAGTCTCATTATATTTTTAGCATCTTTTAGAGGTTCACAAAACGAGCAAACACACCGTAATGGACTTGATTCGCAACTTCTTTAAAAGAATAAAGTTAGCAGGCAGTCAGTACTTTGTGGCCTTCAAGGATGAATATGAAGCGCTGGTAAGCCGCATAAAACAACGAGCAGAAGAGCGCGAGAAGGAAGCTATCGAAGAGGTCTAGAGATTATATATAAAAGGATGAAAAATATAAAAAAAGTTAAATAGAAAATATGAATTAGTAACTGTTATAGTAGAAAAGAAAAGTTAGCGGTAATATATATATTGTTTATATATTTTTGTAAACTAGCCTGGTTTTATAGGTCTCCTTTACTCTAGTAATAAACACGTGTAGGACCGTAATGCACCAATCAAACTTTTCCTTTTTCTCTTATTTAAGTTTATATAATGAAATTTTATGCTTTTGCCTGTTTTTTTATTATTATTAAATTTCACTTTCTGACTTACAAATTCTATAACATTGTACACTATAGTAAATAAAATTATTATGTTCAGCGCCTACTACTATAACTTACTAATTATTAAAAATATTATAATTTCTGCGGTTTATAAAGAAATACTCCTATAGAAATATATTATGTTTTATACAACATTTAGTGTATTACAATTTTAATACTAGTTATAAATATATGAAAATGTTACCAAAAACTATTTTATGTACTATGAAGCCTAAATTTTAAAGTTTTTAACTGGTAAGCTGAAATTATTTAACTTTGAAAATTTTTATATATTTGGTAAAATATGCAGAAATCTGAGACATGATTTTTTATTTATAATAAAACTATTTTATTAATTTAAAAATAATAAAACTATTATTATTTAACTCTTTTAAAAAAAGTTAATGAAATGCTGCGTAGCAAAGATATATTATTTTTTTATTATAAATCAAAGTACGAGCGAAAGGAGAAGGAGCGGCGCATAGCAGAGTCACCCGGCGGCCTGGATCCGTGCGAAGTGATGGAATCTCTTCCAGAGCCCATGCGCACCGCTTTCGAGTCACGTGACATCCCCGCTCTTCAGGAGGCGGTGAAGCATATGGAGGAACACGAGTTTAAATATCATTTGGATCGTTGCATTAAGTCCGGTTGAAAATTCTATATAAAACGTTTATAATAAATATATACTTTTATTGTATATTTTTTTGCAGGTCTTTGGGTTCCCGGCCCTGAAGACAGTAAAGACCAGAGGCCCGCAGAAACTTTAGCGAGTGTTAATCAAGAACCTTAAGATAATTAAATAAACATTTTATTATTATTTGCACTTTACCTAGAGTTTTTGTATGTACTGAGAGCATTTTTTAAGCATTGGAGGCGCTTATTGTATTTCTTGATGTTGACGCAAAGTAAATTTTAGTAAACTTTATTTTTTTTTTCTTGGCTCAAAGTTTTATAATTGTTGTGCACCCGCCGCTAGAGTCCTGCCTACTTTACCACGTCGTTGCACGATAAAAAATAATGTAAAAAGTTTTTTATATACAAATAAAAAAAGAGTTTTAACCATCTTTAAATGCGGTCTTTATTATATTATTATCTACTTGTACTCTTTAAAAATTAATAAAAAGAAGAAATTTATATATGTATTATCCGTTCAGTTTAGTTTAGTTTCGTTGAGGTCAGCAAGGAAGGTAAGAAAGTCGTTGTAGTCGATCGATCCGTTTCCATCAAGATCGGCTGCGAGCATCATTTCTTCCACGTCTTCCTCCGTCACGAAATGACCAACAGCGTCCATTACCTTGAAAAAAAAAATTTTTATTATATAAAGGGATGATCAAAGGGAACGAGTTACTATTCCTATAAAAATAAAGTTACAAACATGTCTAAGTTCGTGCTTGTCAATAACACCATTTCCATCAATATCAAAAATCTGGATAAGAAGTAAATATAACCATAAATTCAGTACGTTGTTCAAATAAAATTGCTTATCATGTTATGATTCTTATATATAACGCACAAATAAACTACTAAATAATATTTTTTAAGTTTTAAGTGAAATAAGTTTTCAATTGTTATGAATATTCATAATAAAATTTAAAAAAATATTATTTATTGTAATCCTTAATGCTATAGAAAAGCGTAATATAAAAAAGTTTATTAGTATACACAAGAAATAACTTTTCCATGAACTATATTTAGTTGTTAAAGTATAGTAACACTAAAAAAAGAATATCGCAAATACTTTAAATAAGCGAAGAAGGTCGTCCGTCCCGCTCTCCCACGCGCTCCGCATGCGCCGCTTCATCAAGCCTACAAACTCTTGTATAGAAATTTTTCCGTCGCCGTTTAAGTCTCCTTCGGCTACTATTAAGCGCAAGTCCTGAAACAGTCAATCAATGTTAAGATTTGTTGCTACTAGTGTACATAATCACTTTATCGGATAAATACTGGCCGAAGGACCGGAAAAGCTGGCGTAATTCATGCTTTCCTATGAATCCTTTTTCATCTTTATCAAAAAGTTGGAAACTTTTAATATAAGTATTGCTGTCCATGTTCTTATTTCCAAAGAGGAATGTAAAAAATAGTTATTTTTTAGCTTTATTATTGTTATAAAAACTTATTTAGTATTTTTTTATGAGTATATATAGTATAAAATAACGTTTAAATATATATGTTGAACGATTAACAATTACCACATTTACAAAAATGAATTTACGTACTATAAAAATATATCAACTACAGTAAAAAGGACAGTACCCATCGATTATAACTTCCCAGGCGTTCAGAGGCTGAAACGACGGGCGGCGCATTCGCATAAAACTGGCGAGCATTTTCGACATGTGTAGGTAAGGAAGCGCCAAGTGCCACGATGCTTGCGCGGAGTAAGCTCAGGTTTTGGAACCCTTTTAGTTGCTTTAAGTATTATAAAGAAGTCACTACAATAAGGTCATTATAGTTTTTCAAATTCAACGATATTCGGTGGAACTACCACTTAGTGACGAATATAAAGGTTACTTCCGCAGACTTTTCCAATAGAATCTTGGGAGGCGCCCTGCCACCAAACCAGGGATGATTCAAGGCCTCATCAGCGCTGAAGAAAAGAAGGAAATAATTAAGGGCCCCACGTGCAGTGCTACGCAAACAAGAGCAAATGGCGTTCAAAATTAAGGTGTTACTTTTTTAAATTTTGCATTTTTTTTATAGTTTTGCTATCTAAATGTAAAAATATTGTTATTTTCCTTCTTTTTCAGGATGTTATAAAAAAATATAACAATAAGCCATGAAAAAGGCAAATACGTGTAGCGAGTGTCCGGATTGGGGTCTAATAAGTGCTCAATTAAATTTCTAGCGTCGCTGGAAAGTTGGTTCCATGCGTCGTTCCTAGCAAATTCGCCGTTGCATACACGCAAGACAATTTTTGCATTCGAAAAATTTCCTTGAGATTTTTATTTAATTTATTAAGGAGCTTTTTACACCGAATTTGCATAATAAAGAAAGGCTTAAGTTCATAAAAACTACTCGATATTAGTTTTTATGATAAATAATAAGGAACAATTCCAGTAAAAATTCCTTATAAAATAATTACTTTTTCAAAGAATTTCATAGTTAATTATAAATATTATGTACGCAATATAGCATTACTTTGAAAATTTCTTTAGTTACCTATATGATTTTATTATTGCGTAAGTACTAATAAATAAGAATATTGATAACTTTTAGAAGTATAATCGTAGTAATTTAATAAATATACGAAATGTTTTAAAAGCATTGATAAAATAAGGAGACATAAATATTGTCGCCCCTAGCATTTTTATTGAAAGTTATAAAGACTTTTTATATGCGTTAGAAGTCTACTGATACGATTGGTATTGTGATTACTTTTAATAATAATAGTAATAACAACAACAATAATACTAAGAATAATAATAAATAAATATATAATAGAAAACCTGAAGGGTCGAAGGGATGAACACCGCAAAGCATTATATAAATTACTACACCAAAAGACCACATGTCGATATTTTTGTCACATGGCTGGTGCAGAATAATTTCGGGAGCGTGATAAGCAGACTAATAGAAAAGCTCTTAAAATAAAGAAACACAAAAAATAAAATAATATATAAATTAATAATTGTTATTAAAAAAAAAATTAATTTATAAATAATTGGAATAAAATAAAATTATAGTAACAAAAGATGTATAAGGTGAAAAGCTTATTATACTAAAAGTATTAATGTTAAAAAAAACAGAATTAAAAAATTAATAATAATAGCAGATTAAAAAAATAGTAATATAAATTAATTTATAAACTAAAAAATTAAATTAATGTAACCCCAAAGAAAAAAGAAAGAGTTGTGTGAAACATAACTTCTTATAATATAATAACATATTTAAAATGGGAACCGTTCCAGTGGGCTTATCAAAAATAATTTTTTCTGACAAAAAAAAAGAATTGCCAAAATCAGTTATTTTTAAAACAGCATCTTCAAATTTTGAGGTTAAAAGAAGATTTTCACTATTAAAAATAATATAATAACTATCCTTATAAATAAATAAAATTTTACTAAAAATGAGTACAGGAATTTTATAACCGTAAAATAGTCGTGCTATCAAAGAAATAATAAAATAAAAAAAAAACAATAAAATTCAACACATATAAGCGACATACAAAAAAAACCCAGAAAACTTACGGCTTTATATCGTTATGGCAAATGTTTCTATCGTGCAAGTGTTTTAAAGCAGAACATACTTTTTTCATTAACACGCTGACCTCCTTTTCACTAAATCTTAAGTGGTAAATTATATATTATTATTAACTAAAAAATTTTAAAAGCAGAAAATGAACCGGCCCCTTTCAAGAAGATACTCAAAAAGTTCTCCACCGAAAATTAAATCCATTATAATTATTAGCTTGTCCGGGGTTATAAACTTTTCATGAAGAGAGACAATATTTTCATGCCGTCCACAAGCCTCCATTACATCTACCTATAAATAGTTAAAAAAGGACAATTTTACCTTGGCATTACTTTAAAATTTAACTTGAATTAAGGTTTAGTAAATTTATTAATCCAAAAACTACAAAGGAGCAACCTCATTGCGTAAAGCTAAATTAGAAACGAGATCTTTGTTTCTAAAAATAACTTTTAAGGCCACTTTCTCTCCTGTTTTCTGGAGACAAAGGAAAATAGTAAGAGCAGTATAAGCCAAGCATACTGCCGACTGGAAATGTGGAGGAGCTTATCTTTAGCTTATAAAATAAAGGGAAAACCTTTACAGTAGCCTCGTAAACTGAACCAAAAGAGCCTGTGCCGAGGAGTCTTCCAACTTTGTATTTTTCTAAAACTTCTCCAGGAAAGAGGGGATGGCTTTTATCTTTACTCTCCGTTCGTTGGGTTAACTTAGAAATAAACAAACAGATGCTCACTATTAAGGCAAATCCTAAAACGACTGCACTATTCGTAATGTGTGTTATATGCCGAGAACTTCTCCGAAACCAAGATCTCTGGTAAGTTATAAAATCTTTTATAGACGAAATTTTTATAAATCTCCTGGGTAAAAAAGATGGGTCTTTATATAAAGGTAATTTAGAGTGTATTAATAGCTGAAAAGCTGGTTTATATCTAAAATTATTCTCAATATGGAGCGTAGAATGGAAACGAACATATCTTTTTAAAGGTTTACTCCTAACTAGCTTGCTAAACATAGCTCTGCATGCACGAGTTGAGCATTCTATGTGAAAATCCCAGAAAGTACTAATTGGCTTTTTTTTTGACAACTTAACGATGTTTTAGCCCACAAAAAAAATCAAATGATGATTGGACAATTTTTTACCTTTAAGGTAGCCTCCTCGCACTTTATCTTAGGGAGGTTTCCACGCCTTCAATATATTTTTAAAAAAAGAATACTAAAGCACACAAAAACATTCATTAAAAATTCTATGCTGTGCGATAAGGTAATGGCAATTATTAATTAAATTATATGTACTTGGAACGAACAATTCCTTGCCTGTCAAAAGTGCTTTGTCCCTTCAGAAAAGATGCGTGCGGTTGCTTTTGTATACGAACTATTAGTTAGCTACTAATTCTTTCAGTTTGTACATTTTCCGAATAAGATAGTACTTCTTTTAGTGTTAATCATAGGGACCATCAGATAGTTTCCTTTAGATTATAACAGTTGTACTTGTAAAAATTTTAACATTTGTAAATACAATTCTTTAAAAACAATACTTTCATGTGTAAAATTAAAAGCGCGTAAATACAAATTTTTATTTTTGGGCAAATTTTTTCTTGAAAAAAAGCGTGTACATACCAATTTTTGTTATGAGGCCCCTATTGACATTATATGAGTGTTCTTTTATTATAAACAGCTTACCATCCTCATAATAAAAATATAATTTTTTTTTAATCACAATACTAATGTAAAAAAATTATTTTTAAATTAATTTTCATAACGTTCGTTTGTCACTCTCTTTAGGTCCGACATAGTCAATACTTAAAATTTGCGTAAGGAATTATATACTGGGCTGATTTTTAAAAGTTAGATTCTTATAAAAACAATATTTGTAAGAGAATAGTAAACTTTTTAATGCGAACTTACAATTTAATACCAGTTTAAGTACAACATTAAAATAACATTATTGCTGAGTTTAATGTTCCGCTCTTTAACTGTTTTTAAATTTTAAATTTTTGAGAAAAACTTCAAAATTCAAAATGTCAAATCTAATAAAATTCACGTATAGTAAAGGTTTTAGTCTCAAGTTTTTAAAACGTGTATTAGAAAAAATCAATATCTTACATATTAATCTAAATAACAGAATGCAGTTATCTTTGAGCGTCTTTACTTCTTCAGTCGTATGCTATTTAAATTAACATATTGTTTTCCGCCTCGTCTATACTCGGTTCTGCAACTATTAATATAGTTAAAAACGACCTTGCCAAGAAATTTTTATTTTTAATACAATCGTCTTTCTTACGTACCGAAATAAATTTTTTTTTTTGGTTAGTTATTATGCTGCTTTAATTAATAGGAATTTAGGTTTTTTTCTGGATATTTAAATTGTTATACAAGAAGTTTAACATAATTGCTTTATAAAAACAATTTCCACTTATACTTTATACTAATGTGCCAACTGTTAGGGTATTTAAACCTTTGCTGACCGGTATCTAAACCTTTAAGCCCTTTAAAACTAATTGAAAAAAATGTATATATATATAGAGAGAGAGAAAGAGAGAGATGTACAGATGTGACTAAAACAAACAAAGAACTAAAAACATATCCCCACTGCCAGTTTATTTCTCGTGAACCTTCATTTTGTATACTAACCACTAAGCAATGAAATAATAATTGATAATCATAAAATTGCCTAAAATGGTAATTTCGTAAAAACTTATAAACTGGGATCTTTCCTCAACACCAACTCATCTAGAATAGTTTTGATTTTAACATAATTTAGCAGTTTGCTTCTACAAACATCATTATTACATTCCCTTTCTACCTTCCGTTCCTCTTCCCCTTTTATGAATAGTTTTTAATCCGAATGCAAAACTTTATTAAAAATGTTTTAAATGCATTATAGACGCCACATGCTTTTTTTAATTTTTTACGTGTGCCGTGACTTATAGTTTATATGATAGTGTCACCTAAAAAAATATATATTTAATTTTCATAAAATGTATTGTTTACCTTAATCTTAGAAGGCACGGATAATGCGTTATAATAAAAAGGTGGGAACATAATTACTCTACAGGCTTAAAAATCAACTATTTTGTGCTTTTTACTTAACTAAATTATTACGGCATTTTAATTAAAAACTTCTTATTATGAAAACATTTAAAAAATAAATATTGCTTATTTGGTGTTTCTAAATCAAAATTATATAAAGAAGTATTGCATAGAAGAAATGTATAGTTTATTAATTTACTTAAAAGTCTTCTTATGGGCTGGTAATTAATAATTTTAATTAGTTCTAGGTTTGCCTTAGAACTGCACTGGCATAGTATAACAAGTTTGTTTTCTTATTCTTTTCTTTTTTTTCATTTAATTAGAGTTTTTTGCAAAAAGCTGTGTTTCTGATATACCCATCATCTTTACTTAATATAGTAAACTCACTGTTTATACCCACACGCTCCTAACGATCTCCACTGTTTCTCTATACCTGCATTGCGTAAGAGAACACTTTTAACAAGTATTTAATGCTTTAGGAAAAGTAACACTGCCATCTGCCAACATTTAACATGGTTTCCTGTGCCGCAACGGTTTTAAAGGCTGAAATAAAAATTTCTGGATCTTTTCTTTTTCTTACAAACTAACACGGCAATGAATAGTTTAGTGTTTATAACCACGTTCCTGCATAATAATGCCTGTACTACTAAGTTCTATGTATCCTTAACTTTTACTATAAATCTTTTAGTTACTCAGAGCTTGCACATAAATACCTGCAGAGCTACTTTCAACTTAGCTATTCATTTTCCTCTAGCATCCCGTGGAATTGGTTAAAAAATTCCAGTTCCTAATTTTTAACGCAAACTACCCTATCTAGTTGCATTTTTCAAATTATTAGAAAGATTTTTCTGGTACTTTATTTTTAGTATATGAAGAATTTCTCAGTGGGAGCCTAGCTAGTAGCAATGCTGGTGGATACTTCTGGGAAACCGAAAGCCCGTACTCAAGGTTACCTCTCCCCTTGGTGGTTTTTAGCGGATTTGGCAGGTACACTGTCGCTACCCCTCATTCCTTCAAGTTAGTCACGAACTCCATCGGAAAAATGCGCTGGTGGGCATGCTAACAAGGGAATAACCATAAAATAACAAGGGAATAACCATAAAATTATTTTTAAACAAAATTAATAAACGAAAAAAGGATTCATATTGGGGTCATATTAATTTTGATTGGTTCTTCCAATCTGTCTAAAAGTAATTTTTTAAAACTAATTTTAGTAATGTTAGACTTCCGCACCACGGCAAAAAGTGGATGCCCACCTTAAGGGGTAGGAAGATAGAGTTTTAACAAACAAAAAAGAATTAAAAGTTGATTGGCGGTGAAATTTATTTTTTATTGACTTTTCAATTCCGCTTTTTATAGTATGAAATACCACTAAGCTTTTACTATAAATCCTGCCGGCGTGATGCACACTCAGGGCGTCACACCCCTTCAAGGTGCCCGAACGCACAAGGAGGACGTTACCACTAGTTCTAGTTCATATATCCAGAAATGAGAGACAAAGGTGTTAGAACTAAAGACTATCTCCCATCTCCAAGTTCGGTGGAAGAACCTCGGAAGAGTAAGTGCGTTGCCAGTACCATTGATCTCAGACCTTTGGCATACCGCAAAATTTTGCACGGGGGGCCCCGATGCGTTAAATTTGGGAGGGCCACCTGAGAGCACTACGCACGAAAGTAGGAGATAGCCCTGCTACTTGTGCAAATTGCGGTGAAGCGCGCACCACTAATTATCAAGACTGCAAATACTATTCTCGAAAGGCAGCCAGCCAATCCGCAAAGTTCACTCCGTCGGTGCTCACTACAAACAATATTGTTACTGCGGGGTCTCTTACGCGTCCTATTTGAAGCCAAAACCGCATTAAGATTCTCTTCCACTATTCCGTTAATATCTGAAGCTCTTGGTCACGCTTTTACTGTAAAATCCGATCAGTATCAGCAACGACCACAGTCGCCATTACGGCAGTTGTTAGTATTTCAACGACAAATTTATCCAGGCATGCTTGAAACTGTGAAAGGACTAGAATCTGTTCGCAACGGTTTCTAAACCGAAGGCGCGCCGCTACATTCGACTATTATTCTGGAATGCGAATGGTGTTCAAAGTAGAAAGCATGAGCCCAGGAGCTGTTACAATTTGAAAGAATTGATGTGTGCGCCATCAAGGAGACGCACTTCCTTCCTAGCATCGCATTTAACCTGTGCAACTTTGTTACGTATCACCAAAACCTGATCGATGCACGCGGCGGGGACGGGACTATCTTGGTAAAACGGAGCATTCAACATCGTTCGATATCTCCGCCAGCCCTACAAAGTCTCGGGGCAGAGGGAATTTCCCTATGTATGGTCTACCGGGGCCCGCATCTGTTGTCGTCGTTACAAACCCCTTGGAAGCTACAACCGCCTCTTCGTGAAGGTAGTATAGCGGCCGAGAGTAACGAAGACAAAGCTACACATTTTGCTAATCTCCTTGCTACCCAAAAAGTGCCAGCTGCTCATTTAACTGCCAATGATGCGTTCCAACTGCTGGGCTTCCTTCTTCCCGAAGTCTACGGAACACTTAAGCTAGTTAATGCTGGTGAGGTTCAAGCAATTGTCAGAACGCTACTCAAACGAAACGTGCCTGGCCCCGATGGCATCACTAATGTGCTGCTGAAGAAAATGCCGTTAACAGGAAGCGTTATCAGAAAAGCGTTATCTGTACCAATTAGTAAAATCTGCGGTGAGCCTTAACGCCTTTTCGAACCGATGGAAGGCGGCAATCGTTGCGATGCTGCAAAAAACACTTAAACCGGTTCAGTAACTAGCAAGTACCGGCCCATCAGTTTCCTCTCAGAGGTCGGCAAAGTGGTTGAGATTGTCGACGCTCAGGATGCCTGGGCCTACAACTCCACTGCAATAGCGTTGGCACTTCAATTATGACAGAAAAAAT